TTGTCTAAATCAACAACAACAACGTTGTTGGAGCAACACATGTCATCTTGCCAACTGATCTCACTTTAATTTCAGGACTAATATTCTCCAGGGCCCATTCATGATGCTTTTTACCATCATGCTGCATGTTTCTGGCTCATTCACTCTTTTATACTTTCTTTTCTCTGAACACTGCCTTCTCTCTTCTTACTCTTGCTCATAATTGGTTTCATATTTTATTAAGAAGATAGATGCAACTAATAGAGAACTTTGACAAGCTCTCACCACTGCATATATCCAGGTTCCAGCATCAGTGTTCATACTCTTTCCCCCTGTTTTGAATGAATGTAAGGGTTCCTGTCAACCTCTCCACACTAGACTCCTTACCTTTTTGTCATCTTTTTAAAGACAAGGTTCTAGTCATTCTGCTCTATTTCATTAATTTTCTGAAAACCATCAATTTCCCCTTCTCTACTGATCACTCCTATTAGCTGGCATATATATTATTTCTTTTATCATTAAAAAAATCCTTCCCCCTGGTTGGTGTGGCTCAGTGGATTGAGTGTCAGTCTGTGACAAAGGGTCTCTAGTTCAGTTCCCAGTCAGGGCACATGCATGGGTTGCAGGCCAGGTCCCCAGTAGGGGGCACGCGAGAGGCAATCACACATTGATGTTTCTCTCCCTCTCTTTCTCTTGACCCCTCTCTCTAAAAATAAATAAATAAACACTTTTAAAAATAAATAAATATTCCTTTAAAAAAATACTTCTATTGGTCCCATATTCTCCTTTAGCTAGTTATTGCTCCTTTCTTTTTTTCTCTCCTTTATAGCAAACTTTCTACAAATAATTGTCATTACTAATGGTCTTCAATTTCTCTTCTCCCATTCCCTCCTGAGTTTTTTGTTTTCTTTTTCTAACTTTGAGACACTTATGTTAGGGCCACCAATTAAACATTTCAGTCTTCATCTCACTTTCTATTGATAGCATACAGCATAAGTTAATAACACTCTCTTTTAGAAACATTTGCTTCATTTGGTTCTAGGCCAGCACATTCTCCTAGTTTTTCTGCAGACTCTTGTGTTTTTTTTTTTCCCCCTTCTCAACTTTGCTTATTTGTTTCTTACCTCTTTGTAACATTGGATTTTTTTTCTCTATGTACTCATTTAAATTTACTTGGTAATCTCATTTAGTCCCATGTGGGTTTTTTTTGTTTTGTTTTGTTTTGTTTTTTAATTCTCACCTGAGGACACATTTTTTCATTGCTTTTAGAGAGAGGAAGGAGGCTAGGGGTAGAAAAAGAGAAAGAGACATGGATGTGAGAGTGGGTGCCCTCTCATATGTGCCCTGACCAGGGATCAAACCTGCAACCCAGGTAGGTGTACCAACTTGGAATCCAACCCGCAACTTTTCAATCCACGGGATCATGCCTCACCAACTGGGCCACGGTGGCCAGGGCTCTAGTCCCATGTTTTTTAATGTCATCTTTATGGTTTAAGACTGTCCAACTGTCAAATTAATACCTTTATCTTAATGTCTGAAGGCATCTCAAACTTCTCTCTAAAACTGAACTTGTGATATTTCAACATGCTTCTTTATGGTTTTTACTTTTTTTGTTAATGGCAATACTCTCCTTCAAGTTGCTCAGGGAAAAAGCCTTTGAATCATCGTTAGCATTTCTCTGACTCATACTCCACATTCATCTCATCAACAAATCCTTTTGACTCTATCTTTAGACTATGTCCAGTCTCACACCTTTTCTGTAATTATGTTTCATCATCTCTTACTGGGATCATCACAATATCCTGTAATCAATCTTGCCATGTCCACCCTGTCCTATTTATAGGCTATTCACCAAATACCAGCCGGAGGGATCCTGTTGAAATGCAATTTTAGAGAATGGCATGATTTGCTCATTGGCTTCCTCTCAAGTCATTTACTTTACTCATTCTTACAGTAATAGAGCACTTACGGTGACCTACAAGGTCCTGTCTGATTAGTTCCATCTTCCCATTCCATCTTCTTAATTCTTCAACTTCATATCCTATCACTATTTCTCTTACACCAGGCCAGACATTCTGAACTTCTTGCCTTTCCCCTGATGTGCTAAACATGCTCATACCCCCAGGACCTTTGTACTAGATGGTCCTTCTGCCTGGCACATATTTCCTTGGATGTATGCATGGTAACTTCCTCAATTCCTTTAACCCTTCCTTTAAATGTCACCTCTCAATGGTGCTTCTCCTATCTTCCTATTTAAAATCGCAGTAGTCCCACCTGCTTCCCACCTGCTCCCTCAAGCACCTACTCCGTGCTTTATTCTTCTCCATAGCACTTGTCATCATTTACTATACTATATATTTTATTCATTTATTTTGTTTTTGTCTTTTTCTGACCGAAATACAAGTTCCATAAGGATAGCATTTTTTTTTTCTGCTGTATTCTCTGCATCTAGAATTAGTGTCTGTACCAGTTAGGTAATTTGTAAATGTTTGAATAGGTATGACTTTTCAATCTTTTCAGTATCATGATTCTTCTGTTACAGATAGAGATTGAGCCTTAGGAGTTCAGTAATTTGTGGAGATGACACTTAAACCCACATGCAATTACTGTATATATTATTAATTTACCCATTGGGCTACTGTATGAACTGGACATTAGGTTAATTGCATTGTTATGGAGGAAGTCATCAGTATTGTACATTTTATGTGTGCTCTTACCCTCAATCATTACCTGTTTGGAGAAAAGAGAAACAGATTTTTAATATTTAATTCATGTTGAAGCAGTTACTTTGCTTCATCATAGAGACATGAAGAGAGTTAAACTATTTTCTCAAACTAAGCACTTTTTAGAGTAAGAATTCTGCCTTCTGGAAACAAAAAAGGCTTTATTTACTGAGATTAAAAAAAAAATATCTGAATCCAGGGAACTGGAAGCAGCAAGGAATAAATAAGAACACTGTTTCTCTGGTTCAGGTGGTTCAGGTATTTCCACGGGTGTGGATTCCACAGGTGGCAGCTGGAATCTTTTTTCATTTTCTACCAGTGAATTGTTCTTAATTCAACAGAATCATAGATTTGCAGAAATTATCAAACAACTCGCAGTCAAATAGGGAGCTGATGAGGGATAGGGGTCACAATCAGAAGGTAGTCACAGATCGTGATGACTATGAATCATGCTTTAAGTTTTTGCAGCTGCTTTTAGAGTACAAACTGTAGGATGTGTCTAGTTGGCATTTCCTAGCACCTGCCCTATTTGTGGTTCATATTCAAAAGGACTGATTGAGGTGAAAGTAAATTCTATGTACCAAATCCCTGGATTATAGAACTGAAATATGAATCCCAGATCTGTCCCCAAACTTTGATCTGCTGGCCAGACCGTGGTTATTGCTTGTGTCAATCTATCCATGTCCCTGAAATTAGAACTTTTCATGAAATGCTAATATTAGTTGAGAGGTGGTAAAATTTCATGAGAATTTAGTTATATGCTAATAACGTCATACCTTGTGTTTTCAATGGAAAGCCTAAATTGTTTATCAAGCTCCTTTAATTTAAAGAATCTCAGACTCCAAATTCTGTCTCCTTTCTAGTAGGCAGAGCTAAAATCTATGCTCAGTTCTTTGAGCTTCTGGCTGTTACCTGCTGGGCTGTAGGAGTCTCCTGCAGGCGCAGGGGTCAACTGAGAATTTAGACAGAGTTAATGCACAGATTTCGGGGCACCCCCATGTAGTGTCCTTCTTTTGTTTTAGGAAGTTAGTTTCTCAATTTCCGGCCACTGACAGCTCCAGACTCGTTCTCTCTGACATCTCAGGCCAATCAGACTATGTCTTTGTATCTGAATTTTAGCTGTCTCCTGTCACAGAGACTGGAGAGTCCCCTTAGGGGATATGTCTTGTAAATGTTATACTCATCCATTGTGATTCATTTCTTCTAAGGGTCCAATCTTTTTCATTTTAGGCCTATTTTTGCCTCTCCGATGCCTTTAAGTAGTTTTTTGTTATTTTTTGTTCAGGTTCATAATCATTAGATGTGGTAGGAGTACTCTGCCATTATTGAAATCGGAACCTCACTAAGTTGGGATACATAGAGTTTTCATTATCATATAGATCAAAATACTTTTCTAATTTTCATTGTTTCTTCGAGTCCTGAGTTATTTAGACATAGATTTAAATTTTTTCAACATAAGGATTTTCTAATTATCCTTTTCTTATTAATTTCTAGCTCATTCTACCATGGTCAGAGAACATACTCTATATGCTTTTATTTCTTCAAAATTTGTTGAGATTAGATTTATAACCTAGTCTGTGGTCCAGAGATACCAGTGTTCTCTGTATACCTTTAAAAGATTTATATTCCTAGCTGTTATGTAGTACCTTCCAATTTAGTCATGTTTGTTAATGGTGTTCAAATCTTACATAATTTTTACTTTTTTATTTTGGTAAGCTTTATCTGTCAGTTACTAAGAGATTGGTACATTAAAATTTTCCACTATTTTGGGGATTTATCCATTTCTTTTTAATTCTGTTATTTCTTTTTATTTATTTGGAGCCCATGTTGTTGCATGAGTTTAGAATTTTTTCTTCCTTGTCAATTTAACCCTTTAGAGAATGAATTTTCCTTTTTGATCTTGGGTAATGCCTTTTCCTTTAACGTCTTCTTTGTCTGCTGTTAATTTAGTGACAGCTTTCTTTGAATTGGCTTTTCATTATATTCTTTTTCCTTTTTACTTATAACTTTCTGATTTCTTTATTGTTTATTTTCTTTAAAGTAGTTGGATTTTGCTTTTTCTTTTTAATCCCATTGTGACAATCTGTCTTTTAATTGTAACATTTAGATTACTCACAGTTAATAAAATCACTGTTTGCAATCAAACCAGCCACCATAGTAGTTATTTTCTATTTCTTTGACCTGTTTCATGCCTCTCCCCCCATCTCACCATTACCAGCTCATTTACTTTACAGTTGTATTGTGCATTCCATTACTCTGATTTGTCATTATAAGATGACTTTATTTTCTTTGTTTTAGGAAAAGACAGAGTTTTTAATACCCCATTGTGTGAACAAGGAATTGTTGGATTTGGGATTGGAATTGCAGTCACTGGTGCTACTGCCATTGCAGAAATTCAATTTGCAGATTATATTTTCCCTGCTTTTGATCAGGTAGGAAGATCGCATTTTACTATAATTGATCATTTCTAAGGTAAAGTCCATGAAGTACTGAAGTTTTGCCCCCAGGCTTCTACTAACTTTATCTGCTTCATTCTACTAAGACCTTAGCAACTTTTTGTTATCTTTGAGTAGGGGCATTACAAGTTATGTTGTTAAGGGCATGGATTTTTAAAGAACTAATAAAATGGTTCAAGAAAGTGAATGGGACTAAAGTTCTTCTTGTGATGTGTCCCTTCTCTTTTCCCTCCTCAGATTGTTAATGAAGCTGCCAAGTATCGATATCGCTCTGGAGATCTTTTTAATTGTGGAAACCTCACCATCCGTTGCCCCTGGGGCTGCGTCGGCCATGGGGCTCTCTATCATTCTCAGAGTCCTGAAGCTTTTTTTGCCCACTGTCCGGGAATCAAGGTATCTTTGTTTATGTACTTTATTTGATCTCCATTTGATGTTTCCATTTTGGTTCATTCTACAGTATTAATATTAACTAATATGCTTATCTAGAGGAAAGCAAACAGGATTTTTCGAATTTATATACACAGTTATTTTTAAAAGAGAGCTTAGTATTTTTTTAGATCCATTAATCCATTGTTCATGTTTATAAAATACTGATTTTGAAGTAGCACCTGGTTTGACCCTGATATTAATTTCAGGCTTCAAAGAATAAGACTGAGAACATAGTTGGTTTGTCTTTTCCCTCTTTCAAAGCTCTAGGTTCATTTAACGGATTCTGGGGTAAATTAATAAATCCACTGTTTAATTCATAGTCAGAGGGATAAGACTTTTGCTTTTAGTCTATTTTTTTTTTTTTAAATAGACTAAGAAACCTCTGTGTGCTTTTCAGTCCAGGTAAGGTAATGTTTGTTCAAACAATGAATTTTGAAGTATATTTCTTTTATAGCCTTCCACAACAGTCTTAGGTTTCTACAAGCTTAGGTCTTTTAATAAAAAACATTTTGCATATTTTAAGTTTTAATTTTTTATATTATCTTCTTTTCTAGTTCAATTTACTGAAGAGCTTTCCAGGGAATCACTATAAAAATGCATAAATATGTCCACCCAGGGCTGTGTGTCTGTTTGTTTTTTTTTTTTTGATAACATAAACTGGTTGTGGATGTGTTTATGTTTTATTTTTATTTTTATTTTTCCTACTAGAACAAAGTTATAAAGTTTTATTAGTTGAATACAGGTTGCATAATTTTTCAATGTAAGCTGGAAGTGGTAAATTTTGGGGGGACAAAAGCCACATTTGAGGCAGCAGTTATTTTTGTGCCTGAGCTCAACATTGATTTATACTTAATGTTTATGATGTCACCCAGTATTTTTAAGAACAGATCTTTTGTCTCAATGTCCTACCTTCTCTACTCCTCCCTCTTTTTCTTTTTTTAAGTCCCAAATGAAAATATGCATGTAGTACAAAATGCTAAATACATGAAGGAAGCAGGTGAAGAAAAGTAAGCAGTGTGTTCAACAGTCTATTTACAGAAAATGAAATAATGAGAGTTGAGCTGTGCTTTATTTTTTACATAAAAATCCTTCAATAGAAATGGTGTGAAAATTATTTTGAAAGCCAAACAGCTTGATTCAAGGAACCTTATTTGAGCCTTTGTGATAAATTCAGGTTTATTTTAATGGTAACTCTTCTTATGTAACTCTTGACTTTATGCAGTTATTTAACAATAATTAAAAATTAGATACAAGTTTGAACAATAATTTGAGGCAAAATGGTATAGAAGTTAAGAGCTTGAGCTGTGGTGTTAGTCAGAGCTGGGTGAGAATCCCTGGTCTAGCAAAGTGACATAACCTCGGGTGAGTTATTTGATTTCTCTTTAAGCTTAAGCTGCAGTTCTAAGTTGGGGCAAATAATAATAGCTACCTTGTCGGGTTGCTGTGAACAGTAGATGAATTAGTCCACTAGAGTTCTTGGTCCAGTTAACACGTGTGCTACCTACTGTCATTGTCCTCTTCCTCATTATCAACCTCATTGCCAAGAAGTTCCTGGAGCCCTTTCCTTGTCAACGGGAAGTGTCCAGTATCCACACTTTTAGCTTTGTAATAACTAGACATTACAGTGCCCGGATCAGAAAGTTCAGTGGACTACTTTTTCACATAGGAAATCGTGTTGTTCATGGACAGGAGATTTTGATATTTAAAACTGGAGAAGAGAGTTGCACGCCCTTTGAAATTAGCAGTAGAGTATTAGTAGAAAATATTTATTTAGAGATAAATACAACTTTTAGAAATTGACAACTTTACTTTTTTGTTTTGGTGAATGTTATTTGCAGAATCCTTTTATATATGTATATGTGTTTTATATATACATATAGATGTATGTGTATATATAAATATGCACGCGCGCGCGCGCGCACACACACACACACACACACACACACACACACGTTTAGCTCCTTAAGAGAAGAGCAGCTTTAGTCATCACAATATGATAGGCATCTAATAAATGTTGAACAAGATGAATTTCTTGGGACAGAATGCAAATTTTTATAATAATGGTAGTTAGGCTAAAAATGCCAGATTTCTATTTTAAATTAGTAACAATTAGTTATTTAAATATCAATCCTTCTTATAAGTGAGTTTACAGGGATACATTTTCACTAAAATTGTCTTTAAAAAAATCTGTTTTTGCAGGTGGTTGTACCCAGAAGCCCTTTCCAGGCCAAGGGACTTCTTTTGTCATGCATAGAGGATAAAAATCCTTGTATATTTTTTGAACCTAAAATACTTTACAGGGCAGCAGGTAAAGGTTTTCTTTATATTTGTGAATATCTTTATATTTTTGTTTTCTACAGTTCAAAAATTTTTTTCTGTAAGTTTGCTTTATATTTACCTTGTAGAAAAAATTCTCATTTTTTCCCTCATATTTAGTTTGTTCTCAGGTGTATATTTTATGTTTAGGGAAAATCCACCTAACCATTTATATTTTGATTATGGGAAAAAATGTGAATTTTTTGAGAACATGGGGACTGTGGTCATCTACATAGTAGATGCTTAGTAAATGTGGGTTGAATGAGAACATGAATGAGCTCTTTGTACTAAATAACAGTAAATGCCCTTACAGCTAATGTGTCTGTTTAGGTCTTAATCTAACTTAGCACATTTATGACAGTGAAGGAGGGAATATTAATGCTGTGACATCAGGTCTGCACTGAGATGACTGTGTAAGGAAAACTGTGGTGTTCAGTCATGCTCCTTTTAGCTTGAAATCATGATTCTGTAAAAACTCATCTGTGACTGATTATCAGCTGTGATCAAAATTTTAACATCAAATGATTTGTTCTGTTTTAAAGTATATTTTGATCCAGGACACATTGCTTTGGCAAATCATTCTTTTCCTTGAATAGTTAAGCTTAAAAATATTTATTAAAGAAGTCCCTGTTTATTCTATTTCAGTTGTCCCAATTTTCCCCTTTGCCTTCCTCTGCCCAGCCTCCTGTTTCCCCCAACCCCTACTCCCACAGCCCGTCCCACACCACTGTCCATGTTCATGGGTCATTCATACATGTTCTTTGACTAGTCCCTACCTCTTTTATCTACGATTCCTCCCCTCTCCCTCTCCCCTTTCCTCTGGCATCTGTCTGTCTGGTCTCTGTTTCCATGTCCCGATTCTGTTTTGCTTGTTTATTTTGTATTAGATTCCTCTTACAGGTAAGATCATATGGTATCTATCTTTCACCACCTGGCTTATTTCACTTAGCGTAATACTCTCCAGTTCCATCCGTTTTGTCACAGAAGGTAGGAGTTCCTTCTTTCTCTCTGCAGCGTAGTATTCCATTCTGTAAATGTACCACAGTTTTTTGATCCATTCATCTACTGATGGGCACTTAGGCTGTTTCCAGCACTTAGCTATAGTAAATAGTGCTGCTATGAACATAGAGGTGCATAAGTTCATTTGAACTGGTGATTTGGGATTCTGAGGGTACATTCCTAGCAGCAGAATTGCTGAGTCAAAAGGTAGTTCCATTTTTAGTTTTTTAAGGAAATTCTATACTGTTTTCCACAGTGGCAGCACCAGTCTGTATTCCCACCAGCAGTGCACTAGGGTCCCCTTTTCTCCACATTCTCACCAGCACTTGATGTTTGTTGATTTATTAATGATGGTCATTCTGACCCGTGTGGGATGGTTTCTCATTGTGGTTTTAATTTGCATCTATCTGATGGCTAGTGATGTTGAGCATCTTTTCATAGGTCTATGGGTCCTCGTATGTCCTCCTTGGAGAAGTATCTATTCAGCCTTTTGCCCACTTTTTTTTTAATTGTTGTACAAGTACAGCTGTTTCTGTTTTCTCCCCACTACTTGCCCCTTTCCTATGCCCTTTTTTAAATGGAATTGTTTGTTTTCCTAGTGTTGAGTCGGATGAGGTTTTTTTTTTTAAATTTTTAAATCATGTATATTCTATTACAGTTGTCTCAATTTTTACCCCCTCCACCCATCCCACCCTCACTCCCCACTGCCACAGTCAATTCCCACTCTCTTGTCCATGTCCATGTCCATGGGTCACTCATACATGTTCTTTGTCTAGTCCCTTCCCCTTCTTTCCACCATTGTCCTCTTTCCCCATCCCCTCTGGTCACTTCCAGTCTGCTCCATGTTTCCGTGCCTGTGGTTTATTTTGTTTGTTAGTTTATTTTGTTGAATAGAGTCCCCTTAGCATATTTTGTATAGGTGAGATCATATGGTATTTGTCTTTCATCAACTGGCTTATTTCAATTAGTTTAATATTATTCTCCAGTTCCATCCATGTTGTTGCAAAAGGTTGGAGATCCATCTCTCTCTCCTTCTTTTCTTTCTTTCTTTCTTTCTTTCTTTCTTTCTTTCTTTCTTTCTTTCTTTCTTTCTTTCTTTTCTTTCTTTCATGCATACTGTATTTATTTTTTTAAATGTCAGTTAATTATAAAATATTAAAAAATTTAAAACCATTATAAAGTCTCAGCAATTAAACCACCATGACACCAGCCCCAAAATAATCAATTAGATCAATGAAATATAATGAGCATTCTAGAGACAAACGTATATATCTGTCTAACAATGCAATATATGATTAAGTTGATATTTCACATCAATTGGGAAAGTAAGGCTTATTCAACAAGTAAGGTTCATGGGCCACTATTACTTGAAATAAAACAAATATAGAGCCCTATTTCACACATTATAGAAGAAATAGGTGAGTTAAAAATTAATATTTAGAATCTAAGGAGTTTTGGGAGAAAATACAAACTGATATTTTTCTTACCATAAAGTAAAATATTTAAACCCAGAGGCTATAAAGTAAAATATTGACAATACGACTATATTAAACATTTAAGACTGTGCAGTAATATATATATAAAAAAAGTTAAAGGACAAGTAATAGAATAGGAAAGTATTTGCAACACATCTAAGAAAGGGTTAATGGTTTTTTTAGGGAAAAAATTTTACAAACATTTAATCAAAAAATGGATAAAGAATACCAAACTCTCATTTTAAGCTTTTTAAAAATAATAGAAATAGGCAAGAAATATACAAAAACAGGTTTAGTTTCAACAAATAGTAAAGGAACAATTAAAATAACACATCATTGTCATAATCAGATTAATACATATTAAAAAATATTGGTAATATCAAGTATTGGCAGCTGTGAAAGGAACTGAGTATTCGTAGACTCTTTTTATTCATCTTAAAGCAGTCCCCTTAGCATATTTTGTAGTGCTTGTTTGGTGGAGGTGTATTCTTTTAGCCATCTTTTGTCTGGGAAATTCCTTATTTTGCCTTACATTTAATTGAAAGCCTTGCTGAGGAGAGCAGTCTTGGTTGCAGGCCTTTGCTTTTCATGACTTGGAATATTTCTTGCCACTCCCTTCTGGCTTGCAGTGTTTCTGTTGAGAAGTCAGCTGCCAGCTGTACTGGGGCTCCCTCATATGTTACTACCTGTTTCTCCCTTGCTGCTTTTAGGATTCTCTGTTTGTCTTTGCTATTTGCCATTTTAATGATGATGTGTCTTGGAGTGGGCCTCATTGGGTCCCTCTTGAATGGGACCCCCTGTGCTTCCTGGACTTGTGTGACTTTTTCTCTCCTCCAGATAGGGAAGTCTTCCATCATTATTTTTTCAAACAGGTTCTCTATCCCTTCCTCATCCTCTTCTCCTTCTGGTATCCCTAGTATACTGATATTATTATGTTGCAGGTTGTCCTGTATTTCCCTAAATGCCTCTTCATTCTTTTTGACTCTTTTCATTTTCTTGCTCTTTCTGGGAGCTTTTTTCTACCTCGTCCTCCAGCTCGCTAAGTCGGTCCTCAGCTTCATCGAGCCTGCTTTTGATTCTTTCTACTGTGTTCTTCAATTCAGAAATTGTAATTCTTCATTTCCTCTTGTCTCATATTGATAGTTTCTATGTCCTTTTTCATGCTGATATAGTTTGCAGTAAGTTCCTCATAGTTTCCCTATAGTTTTTTGTAATTCTCTCTGAGCTCACTGAGCTTATTGAGCTTCCTTACAACTGTTGTTTGGAACTCAATATCTGATAGTTTACTTGCCTCTATTTTATTTAGTTTTCTTTCTGTGATTCCTCCTTTCCCTTTGAGTGGGGGGTATTTCTTTGTCTTCCCATTATTTGTGAGACTCTTCTTTTTTGCTTCTGCTTCTTAAGTTGATCTGTCTTGATTTCCTGACTTTGTGATGTGAACTTCTGTGGTAGGAGACTAGTGTTTTTAGTTTCTGGATCTGCCTCTGATGATGTCAGATGTTATCCCTGTCTGATCTTAGGCAGTCTGTTCAAAACTTCCAGGAATCTACTGTCTGTGGCTATCTCCTTCAGCTGTTAATCTCTGGATGAGTTCTTTATGTATTTTGGATCAAACCTTTTTCTGATATATCATTGGCAAATATGTTCATCCACATGGTCAGTCCTGTTTTCATTTTGATGATGGCTTCTTTAGCCGTGTAGAAGCTTTTTAATTTGATATAGTTCCATTTGCTTATTTTTTCCTTTATTTCCCTTGCCCTGGGACATATATATTCAAAAATGTGGGATATCTGAAATTTTCCTGCCTGTGTTTTCCTCCAGGACATTTATGGTGTCATGACTTATATTTGACTTTTATCCATTTTGAGTTTGTTCTGCTCTATGGTATAAATTGGTGGTCTAGCTTTGTTTTTTTGCATATGCCATTCCAGACTTTCTAGCACCATTTATTGAAGAGGTTATTTTTACTCCATTGCATGCCCATGCCCCCTTTGTCAAATATCAATTAACCACGTGTTTCTTTCTGGGTTCTCTATTCTGTTCCATTGATCTCTGTATCTTTTCTTATGCCAGTACCAGACTATTTTGATTACAGTGGCCTTGTAGTATAGTTTGTTATCAGTTATTGTGATCCCTTTAACTTTGTTCTTCATTCTTAAGATTGATGATGCTTGTCAGGGTCTTTTTTGGTTCCATATAGTTTTGGAATATTTATTCTTGATCTCTGAAATATATCATTGTTTTAATAGGAATTGCAGTGAATCTATAGATTGCTTTGGGTAATGTGGACATTTTAATGATATTTATCTTCCAGTCCGTGAATGTGGTATATGCTTCCATTTATTTTTATCTTCCTTAGTTTCTTTTTTCAGTGTTCTATAGTTCTCCAAGTACAGGTCTTTTACCTCCTGGGTTAAGTTTATTCCTAGGTACTTTATTTTTCTTGTTGGTGCAATAACTGGGATTCCGCCCCCCCCCCCATTTCTCTTTCTGACATTTCATTGTTCGTGTATAAAAA